GCTGGAGGTCAGCTGTGACCAGCAGTGCTGCAGAATTTGAAGAGGCACGAATGGAGGGCGAAAGGGAGAGGCATGCCAAGAGGAAGGTGAGTCAAGCCAACCCCGTCTGAGACCGCCTTCCACCTGGAAACCAATGCCCTCACTGCGGAAGAAGATGCAGAGCAAGAATAGGGCTCCACAGCCACATACGGACCCACAAGAATACTGGAAGACAAACATCCTCGGAAAATGAGGCATCGCCTAAGTAAGTACTTTCTGGCTGTTTTAATAGTCCAAAACATAAAACATAAATATAGCACTCAGCCACAGAATATAAAACAAAACTGACAGCAAACGGTGTTCAAGATAACACCATAGTCAAAAGGTCCAATCCAGTGGTCAAACGCCGAGAGTTCAATGAGCAAAGTCCAGAGATCAAGAGTCTATACCGTTGTCAAAAGCCAGTTCAAAGATTCAAGGTTCCAGGGTTCCGAGGGTTCAAGAGACAGGTCAGGATACTCAAAATCCACAAACCTGGAGGAAAACCAGCAGCATCTACCACCAAAATAAAACAAATACTTTTCTCCCGAAGATCAGTCCCAAGGCTAGCTCATTATATCCAGAAACACTATCTCTTGCATACCTCTACCCTTAATTGTTTTCACCCATGAACTCTTACTTACAGATTACTCAACACTTTAGAACTAAGACTTACATTAACCCTTCCATCACCAACTGCTAGGCCTACCACTACCAACCACCAACAACTGCAGAACATGATACATGACCAGGCCCGTAGCCAGGATTTCATTTCGAGGGGGGCTGAATTTTTTTCAGGGGGGGTTTCGGGGGGGTGAGTTTCAAGGGGGGGCTGAGTCTGAGTGAAAGAGGGTCTAGCCTAGCAAACCCTTTATATCATTACCCCAATACCCCCATGCATATGGGATATATTGAGTATGGTGATCAGATCATGATATGAATAAACATAACAGTTTAAATAATGCACCAGTAAGGCCTTTTCATGAACCACCACGAGAATTTCGGGGGGGGGGGGGCTGAAGCCCCTCAAGCCCCCCCCCCCCCCGGCTACATGCCTGTACATGACACCTCTAAAGAGAGGCTTCCATTTCCTATTTATTTATTTCCTATATTTATACCCCACCCTTCTCAGGGCAGCCTCACAGAAGCACCATATGATGCCAACATCATAAAACCTTCAAAAATATATTACAAATATTAAAACAATAATTAAAACAATAGATTGAAATGCGCTTATTAAAAATCAGAATCCAAAATCCAAGTCCGGCTCAATTCATTGTCACAAGTCTTCTTTCAGTTTCTGCCATTCATTGGTCTAATGCTTGGTCCCATAGCCAAGTCTTAAGTTTCCTTCTAAAGGACAGGAGGAAGGTGGTCAGTCTGATGTCCCTGGGGAGAGCGTTCCACATACGGGGGGCCACTGCTGAGAAGGCCCTGTCCCTCGTCCCCACCAGTCGTGTTTGAATGGTGATGGGAACGTGAACAGGGCCTCTCCAGATGATCTTAAATTTCGTGATGGTTCATAAGATATTCGGAGATATTTCTCTTTCCAAACAGTTGCCCTGAGTGTGACTAGAATGGAAGAAAGAAGAAAATAAAAAAGGAATATGGTAGCAACATATTATCTTCTGTTTATATTTTTCTTATATTTACCAGGGAAAATTTGTGAACCAGAAATCGCTTGTTTTCTTATCTGGTTTTCAGCTGTGACTTCTTCCCCAAACAGCTGAGTCACATCCAAATTTTGCAAAATGTTGTACAAGAGGAATTGGGGCCAAATCGGGCTATCTTGAGTACAGGATGAGGCGGCATAACTTCCTTTTTTCAAAACGTAATAAAACCCATCGTATGGATCAGAAATTATTTTTTTATATAATGTAGGCACATACCTAAAGTTTTGTTTTACATAGTTTTGAAGATCGAATTAGGTAGGTGACGTCCTCCATTCTCCATACACTGAGTAAACCAATTTCTGGTGTTTGTCATGACTCTTGGCAGCATAGCAGGTGTTATGTTGGCAATTTCTTTCTGGATGTTGATCTTCAAATCTTGTAGGGTCCTTGGACGGTTCACATAAACACGGGATTTAAAAAAAAACCATAGGAAAAAAAATCACAAGGGGCCAAATCTGGAGAGCGAGCCGAGCACTCCAAATCAGCTCGAAAAGTAGGCCTTAATGGCAAAAGCACACTCCTCACTGTTCCAATGCATGATGGCGACTGAACTATGTCAGGACAAAACTTTATACTCCCGCCTCTCGAACAAGACCACTAGCGCTCCGCTACGTCTTCAACTGACTGAATGGCGCACATTTAAAAAAAGGAAGTTATGCTGCCTCACCCTGTATATTATTTAGGACTAGCTGTCCCCTGCCACGCGTTGCTGTGGCCCAGTCTGGTGATCTGGAAAATAAAGTAATAAGAAAGTGTTGGTTTCTAATATATGTAATTCCTTTATGCTTGTGAGTAAAGAGTATTTCTTGTTGTTTCTTTGTCAGTGTTGATGTGGAGAGTGTCTGGTTTGCCTACTCTGGAATATGCAACATATCATAGTCCTTCTTTAAGGGTCTCTTTCAAATCTATGATACTATATCTGTGTGTGTGTGTGAGAATAATATCTATCTATCTATATTTATGGTGGCTCTTTGTCAGGAGGGCTCTGTTCCGTCTCCCAGGAGACTGGGTTTATTGTCTTTTTGGGTTGCTTAAATTGGTTGCCCCTTGCCTTTCGCCTAGGCCTCTGCAGCCTCTGCAAAGGCCTAAAAAGTTAGCAGCCAGAGGCAGGAAAGTCAGTTTGCAGGCCCTCTGCAATAATTGGCCAAAGAGTAGCTCTTTGGGCCCACCCCTGTTTCCAGGATAGAAGCAGCCATTTTGGAGGTCTCCCTGCCCCTTCAGTTTTAGGAAGAATCCATGATGTGCTGTTGGCAGGCAGGTACCTCAGAAAATATCATTGCAAAAACAATTTAGTTATAGATAGAAAGTAATTTAGTTTAATTTAGTTTAATTGAGACTTAGATAGATAGATAGATAGATAGATAGATAGATAGAGTAATTTAGTTTAACTGAGACCTACAGATTATAGATAGATAGATATAGAGATAGATAGATAGATAGATAGATAGATAGATAGATAGAGTAATTGAGTTTAACTGAATATAGATAAAGTTTATTAATATAGATGGAATTTATTATTCATTGATTGTTGTAATATTGATAAGCTGAGCCAAGTCTACCAGGACTTCGTAAATAAATACCCTGTTTATTGTTTAAGATTGAAGTGGACTCAGTTATTCCAGAAAGCTCAATCTGCCTAAAGAAAGACCGCAGCAGTTTCGCCCAGACATAGATAGCAGCACGTCAAAGTTTTATTTTAAAGCGTCTGGGCGTAACGGCACAGTTTTTGCATAGGTAGCGGGGGGTTTTTTCCACCTGAGGCTAGCCTGTTCTGCCATAAAGACTTTAGTTTTAGTTGGTCTGTTGCAGTGAAGCTTGCTGCCAGACTGAAGGAAAGTGAAGGAGCGGGGCTCCATTCTCTCAGCCTTCGCTGCCCCCTGCTTTTCGGCTCGCGTGTGCACGCGTGGCCCAGCGGCTGCCTCTGGGTTTGCACAGCTGTGCAGAACCCAACAACCCTCACAGCTCTTCAGCGGTAGGCCTTGAATCGCAGAGCTCCAGCGGCAGTTCTTTTGGCTCGCACAGAGGCGTGGAGCCCAGCAGAACCAGGTCAGAATCCGGACTGGCCTGGTAACTCCGCTGCAGGATCTTGGCCGGAATAGTCGGCCAGCGGTGGCTCACCAGGATCTCGGCTGGGATAGTCGGCCAGCGGTGGCTCACCAGGATCTCGGCTGGAATAGTCGGCCAGCGGTGGTTTGCCTCTTCGCCCTTCGGTGGTGACCTCCCTTCACAGCGGGGAGAAGGAGTTTCTTCTTTCCTCCCCTCCAGAGCCAGCCTTCGAGCCACAGAGCATGAGGTGTTTGAAAATTTGGTGAAGCCGCCATCTTAGCAGCTTGTGTCATTCGACCAAAGAAGGTTCCTCCCTCTTTTCCTGGTTTTTGCAGGGGAGGTATCAGGTGCCATTTTGCA